ATCATCCTATCAACTACAGAACCGAACTTGCAACGTAGCATATGGTCAGCTCTCGACACGAACTCCGAAAACTTTCCGCTGACCGCTACCCGCGTCCATTTCCCACCGATTCAGCTTACAGCGCAAAAATATCTGATAGAGACTCACCTTTATAGCTTCGGCACTTGGCCAAAATTGGAGACGACATTGAAACCAGTAGAGGTAGATAAAAATGAGATAAGTTTGGACACATGTAAAAAGATTGATGAAGGGAAATATGTATTTTTTATGTAATAAGCAATCAGCGCCGCCCATGGACCAACGGCGAGGCTATGAGTGCGTTGCCAACCTTATGGAATTAGGGATTTGGAGATTTTGGGATTGAGGATTGGGAGATGGGAACGACGTGCCTCCGGTAACCTCACTCATACCGGCGAAACACAACGCTATATCAGAAAATCTTGATAAACTGTTGGAAAAACAAAAACAATCTTACGTATGTTTGTTACGCAATTATACAACTATTTTGAGTAGCTAGCCAACCCTCTTTGGAGGTGTTTCCATCTCGCTTTCTTGCTGTCCAGCTTACATGCAATGCACACTACCAAAAGAATAACAATATAAAGAACACCTGTACTATTATTTCGTAAATAAACTTTGTTTTATTTCATCAACCCAAACCTAATACATATTATAGTGATTAATGCTCAAACCTTCTCCATGTAGAGGTCTTTAACAATAATGATAAACCTTACATGTATTGTCTCTGTATATGCCTATTGTGAATGACTGTGTCAATCATTTGTATCTCACTATTTCGCAAATAGTTAAAAGTTTTTCTAAGTGAGAGACAGCTATACCACATCCTCATAGGATACCGACGTGAAGCCACTTTTAGTCGTGAGAGTGGGTTTACTGAAGTCCACGTATCTATACTAATATTATAAAGAGGTAAAATTTGTAAGTTTGTATGTTTGTATGTAGTAAGTAATCTTTGGAACCGCTGGTCGGTTTGCCAAAATTCTTTCACTGTTAATTAGCTACAATGTTCCCGAGTGCTATAGGCTATAAAACATCACGATACGATTAAATCGCGCCGAGCTGCGGGTGAAACCGCGTGATAGTATCTAGTATTTTATATCAGTAAAACACACCCTCTCACTTTATCTTGGTCAAGCGAAGACATTGGATTTGACTTCTCCTTACAAAATAAGCCTGCACATTTTACGAGCTATATCGGTAGTTGAATTTAGTTCGTTTTTATTATGTTCGTCTCACCTACCACCATCATAATCATCACCCAAATTACTTCTTTTCTAACAGCAAAACGTTAGCTTTCCTACTTTTGCGGGCGGCAAGTAAAGGTAACTCGCCGCCCGACCAGAATTAGACCCGAGCGGACGGTGCGTAGCGTTCTGCACGCGCATCAAAGATCCAATAGACCACCACAGACGGGGCTACTATAGGGCTAATTCAACCGGGGTTGCGAGGTAAGCGCAATGAGGCACCGTGACCTCGGCCCAGAGCAGGAGATGGAACGGGGGGGTTTTAAGTCGGCAAGAATCTGACACTCCCTCCCAACCCTGGGCTGGAGAAGACATTTGATGATTTTTCCTTCACTAAAAAAGCTTTTCTACATTATAGCCTTAACTCTAACTAACAATCTACCATAAAACAAAACACAAGCACAAAATTAAACAAATATAAATCGTCCTTTATCGTTGAAACAAAGGCTTGTTAGTCGACAAACAAAAGGAGAATGTTATTTTATTTCATATAATTATGCACTTTATATGTTCCATACAAGGTAGACAATCAAAGCGCGATGCATTATTTTAAGCTACATGGTGTGTTTATTCTTGTTAGTCATTATTTTTAAAGCCTTACTTAAAATCTGCAAGCTGCCATATGGCAATGGGCAGGCCACATCGCTCGAAGGGTCAGAAAAGTGTTTGAGTGGCGACCAAGGACCGGAAGAGCGTGAGCAGATCTCCTGTTAGGTAGACCAACGGCCTCGTCAGAGTCGCTGGCAGCAAATGGATGTGGAAATGAAGTGCCAGCTTTGTCCAGCAGTGGACGTCTTCCGGCTAATGATAATAATGACTTACGTAACTATTTGGCGAAATAACTCGACTCGTTTCAAGCGACGGTAGGGTCTCATATTCAAAAGCAGCATAATGCATATGCAGTAAATATGCCACGTTAAAATACTGATAAAAAACCTATCAATTTTTTGTCCCATTGACGGACAAACTAAATAAATTTCTCATTTTCATCATTATCTATAATTCTAAATTAAAAACGAATAACTTAAATACTTTTGTCAACCTAGGAACCAATCATAAAACCTCATTGTTTTATGTATACATAATTATTGAGTCACTAAGAAACAGATGCGTGTCCAGTCATGTCAAACATGGTCACCCATCTATAAACAGACCTCGATAAGCATAAATTACAATATTGCTCTTGATAACTCGCATGAAACCTCAATGTAAGACTACAGACTTAGTAAAATATTTAGTAAGAAGTCATAAAAATATTCTTTAAGTTATTTTTAGTCTGGCAATAAAAATACACAGTAAAACATGTGTGGGGTATCCCCTACTGAGTGCGCTTTTACCACATTTACACCGAACTCTAACGTTCTAAAATAATCTTCAAAGAGGTTGGCTTGTAAAAGGTGTAATTGCTTCCTGGAAGGTATGTAGTTGCTAACTATTGATGTCGTTCAGTAAGAAGGCTAAAATTTTAGTGACATTTTCATTTTTTTTATCAAATTTAATAGAATTTCGTTGAACAGGTTTTATTTATTTATAAAACAGTTAAAATAACAATAAAATATTACCGGACATCAGAAATATTATAACCACTAGATATAGAAATAAAATTAAATCGAAAACATGAACAAACTTTGTAAGGTCTATGTCATGTTTTATAAAACATACTATTTTTGTATTTCGAACTAGGTATCTGGCTGGATCACCACAAAAAAATAGAGGCCGCCATTTAAACTATCAAAAAGTATAATAAAAATAAATTTTTATGGCATTCATTATCGAGAAAATGCAGCCAGATTCCTTATTCAAAAGAAGGTTACCATAAAAAGGTCAATTTGCGACAAAAAAAAAATAAAGTAAAAAAACGTTTTAGTAAAATTGGACAGCGTTATGTAAGAATAGATTAAGCGACACTGGAGAGAATTTGAGAAAATGAGCTTAAAAGATTTATAAGAACTTAAAAATGTCACTGTGAGCTCATTATTTATGTCACGTGTTTGATAATTTTACTATGAAATAAAATGTGCATAGAGTTTAGAGTAATTTAGGATATATTACGGTGTAGAATATACTTTAAAAGATATAGCCATTTTTCCGCTTAATTCGTTAATGTATTATAGATATATTCAGATAAATTATTTTGTCAATAACGTACTATATGACATTATTGTCGTTTGATTCTTTAATACGATTTGTTTTGGGTGAAATAAAATGCAGTATAAGATTAAATCCAAATATTTTAATGCAAAGTTCTGAAATTAAACAAAAATTATACCATTTCTCTAAGGTGATCTTGTGTGCTATTACTGATTACGAGCTACACATAAATTTTAATATTTTTTTAGTCATATACCTCAAAATAACAACATATTTTGTTGTCTCTCTATCCTTTATAAAAATTAAACTCGTTCAATCGGTGTTCAATCTCTATTTAAAATAAAACCAAAAATAATGTATGTATCTCGTAAGCATCAACGTAATGCCGTTCAAAATAAATATCTAATAAACTAAAAAGACACTTTGTCAACATAAAAAACTTCTAAAAACTTAACAAGAAAGGAACAAAAAATTGGCGCTTAATTCTTAAACAAACGCAAGATCGCGTAGATAATAATATGCATTAACGAATTAGCTGCCATTTTAGGCGGTTAGTTCGATATTGCGTTTTTAAAAAATAAATTGAAACGGGTTATCTACAATTTTTGTGGATATAATTCGTTTATGCATTTTGTAATCCTGTTTGTGTATTTTGTAATAGTAACTTAGGTGCATAATTCTTTGTTACGTAACGAATTTGTGTAAAATTTGTTATAAATTTTGACATGTCGCTTAATTCACTCCTTATTATAAGGCACTAGAATTGACTTTTGAACACAAAAATAGCTGCACACATAGTTAATCATGCCTGGAATCGATCTGCATTCAAAACTCATTTTTTTCAATTTTGTCGCTTAATTCGTTCTTACATAACGCTGTCCAATTGTTAACGATTTTTGCGCACAGAAATTCTGTTATAATGTACTAGAAAAATGCATTTCGCTACCAATCTTGTTTTACATTTTAATACTAACAGTATTTACTAGAATATTCCCTGTTTTATATTTTTACCTAAAAATAAAATAAATAATCCTCTCTCAATTTTAGTAGTTCTAGTAATTTCTTCAAACCACATTTTAGCTGAAATATTGTAAATATAACTAGACAATAACAAATTCACAGAGCTATAAAATTGCCACGCTTCCCGCCATTTTATCACAGATAATAAAATATGATTTTGTACACAGCAATTTCAAACAAAATAGAAAACTAAAAGTGTGATGGAAACTATAATGTTACTTATTTTATTTTATGACAGAATTTGTGATACTGTATCATCAGCGCAACTTAAATTTTTGTTCATTATTTTTTTTTTACTAGCCTGTGTTGTCCCACTGCTGGGCAAAGGCCTATTTTAAATTAAAAAATATTTTTTATCTTACCTATACATTTCCTTGATTAAAGCCGTTCCATAAATGCGTAACATTTCAGTGAACTTGATTAATAATAATTAAAAAAGTACATAATATTTTCGATTAATGAATGATCAAGTTCCGTAAAAAAAGAACTAGGCTGAATAGCATTTCTATCAAATGTCACAGATTAAAAAAACACGGGTGATTGTATTTCGCGCGCGTTTTTTTTTCTCTGTGGACACATTACTAAAGATTTTATTTTACTTTTATTAATTATTTCAATTTCAATATGTTTTATGATGAAAATTTAATGAACGATGAAATATTAGGGGTTGTGTGGAAGCTAGCAAATAACATACCAACTGAAAATATTGGTAATCATAATTTACCGAGAATTTGGTAAGTTATTGTAACTTTTATTTTTAACAAGCAAATTTAATGTAATCTGAAAGTTATTTAGGGTTGAATATTCAAAATGGCGAATCTCTGAGCAAATAATCTCCGATTTGATTCAAATGATTGATTGATCTATCTGGTGGAAATATACTTGATGTATGGCAATAATGGCTCTGATAACTTATGAGTAGATAAACCGGGGAATAGTTTACCTCCAATTTTTTTTAAGTTATCGGTCGTCAAACTAACAGACGCATTACCCGATAGTAAGCAGTCAGCGCCGCCAATGGACATTCGCAACAATAGATTAGTTACGAGTGCGTTGCCGACCTTTTGAGGATTGGGGATTTGGAGTGTTAAGGATCGGGGCGGGATTGGGGAAGGAAACACAACGCTGTGTTTCACACCGGTTTTCTGGGAGGCCGTGCTATGACTCCGGTCGAGCCGACACATTCGTGCCGAAGCATTGGCTCTTCCACACTAAAGATATCCTATTCTATATAAAAATAACCTGGAGCCAATAATCATCATTCCACACCCATCATCAGGTTACACGGAACCCACTAGGACCCTCCATAATGTATCGCAAAAATATTGAATATTTTATTCACAGTACCGAGCTGAACTCCTGGGTGGACATTGCAGTAGTGCCACACAGGAGACTGTCCTTGAGAACCTCTTCTACCCTCATCAATGGAACTGCCATGTTGTACCAGCAAAACATGCGTCAGCTGCTTGATGGTAAGTAGTTATAATTACCATCAGGCGTATGATACTCCGGAATGACGGCAAGACGGGTTTACCATAAAGTCCCTATTTGGCAAACAGGTTTGAGATTGCAGTCTTCAAGGTTTTATAAGAGTGCTCGGTTTTGATAGAACTATATTATGATGTAATGGGAAGTCACATGCAAAACTTGTAGTTTTGCCTACCATCCCATTGCTTAGCATCAAGTAATGTGTTTACTCGTTTGGCTAACATACCCCATAAAAACATCTATATATAGCGAGCAAAAAGAATGTCACATTAGAATAGTTCTACTGCACAGTTGACGTGGTACCTGTGCAACTGGCTGCCGTGCAACGTGTCGCGGGTTCTTTTCCCCCACGGAACAAGCCTTTTGTGAAATGTTTCGAACGTGATGCGTATATGAACTTGGGCATGTGAGGCAACGTTTTAAAACAAAGTTTGGCAGCGCAAACTGCGGCTGCCGTACTTGTTTGATACCCGCACGGAATAATTCTTTAGGTGTTTTTTATTCCGGATTTTAGTGCGATGTGCATGTGAATTTGTATACTTGTAAACGCATCCACGGTACAGGAGAAAATTCTAGTGTGGGACAAAGTTTAAAAAAATAACCAAAATTGTGTATTGATAACTTTGCAAACTCTCACTCACTCGGTTCCCTCACTAGTGAGCACATCCAACATCGGCTAGAGGTGTTAAATTGCCAATCAAGAGGCTTGTAACTCGATCTGGACCTCTAGTTTGCGGTGACAGAGGAAAAAAATTTAGTGTTACGGCCAGTACTGGCAGTTTTTCGATCCTGGGAATAGTAGAAATGTTTTGTTGCACCAGCTTTCGTAAGATTTCAGGGTTCAAGGTTATGTGAACAAAATAATGCTGTTACGATTCCAAGATTGTACTAAAGATTCAAGACCTATTTACGCAAAAAGGAACCAACCCACAGTTTGGTCGAAAATAAGCTGAATATGCCAAATTAATCTTTAAGATTAATTATATCTATAATATTTTCGATTAGTATAAAAACACCCTATTCAAAGCATTTTGATTTGACCTTTTTTTCCTTTTTTTCATATGTGGTTCTAACCAACATCTATGATTGATTTTTACCTAAATTTCGCTATAATGTTGTAAGCTGTTTGGATCACTATAAAAAATTATACGAAATTGAAACCGGTCAACAACTTATTACTTAAAATGAATCCAATCAGCTTGAATCGATTCCCATAAGTGTGCACCTAGTTTCACCGACGAACGACAAAGACTGACTATTATGATATTTTAATATTTCCAAAATGCCTATTTATAGTATAAATAAATGGAATAAATGATATTGAGATTGACCTGACTTTGACAACCGATTGAACTGTTCGACTTTGACAATTGGGTAGTTTCCTGGGTCAAAAATAAATTAATTCGACGTTTCAATACAATATGAATAATGAAAAATAACTTACTTTCATTCGTCGATTGATATACTAAGTTTTAGATATTTTTTTAGCTAATTTTTAAGAAATAAGTAATCTATTTTACGAAAATACTATGACTGGTAAAAATGCTAAGTATGATAAAAGTATCGTTTGTGACATTTGAATAAAAGTATTGAATTTGACTTTTGACTAGATTAGACCAAATACTTTATATAACAAGTACCTATTACTTAAACAGACGACAGTTATTCAATTTGCTTGTTATTTTTTTCTTATTTCGTGCCATTAAATGCCAAAACAATTTATCTTTTTACTTAGGCCCTGTTATTCTTATTTAGCACTTTATTCGACAGTTGTACAAAATACGTTCTATATTCAAATTTATAAAAAGAAAGGAAAAGTATCAAATTATCTTACGTGTTATAGGTATCACTTATTTAAAAGTCATTATAGGGCTGATTTTTCAATGGTTAGATAAAAGTTACCTGGGGAATAATTATGATGCTGTCGCGTCAGAATGTTTGTATAAGACAGTGACAGCAACAATTTTATTCCTCAGATAACATTTATCTGACTATTGAAAAATCAGCCCCAAGTAAACAAAATAAAGTGGAATGAACTTTAAATCACTTTCTTAAGGAAATGATTTAAGTATATAAAAGTCTTAACAATATAACGATGAATATCAATTGGATTTGTCTTCATTTTCATCTTAATTAGCAATATCTTTACACAAGTCTAGTTTCGCTGATTTCTCTCTAAACTTATCATTTGTGCATTAAAGTGTTAATAATTAAACCTCTATTTTCTGCAGACGTGATAAAACTGGATGAAGATTTAGTACAGCGACGCAGAAGAAAATATTTTAGCAGCTCTAGTAAGTTCTTTAAACCATTTATATTTTAAGAATAATTAGTGTATACTGAGAAGACATAAAATCTAGTACAATTTTAGATCGCTTCAAATCATTTATAAGTTTTTAAACGTCCTAGTGTTGATTAAAAGGTATCTTCTCGTACGGAGAAGGAATGAGCATTAATCACTACAGTAGTTTATGACGAGTTGGCGTATTCAAACTTAAAACATTAACAATTATTATTTTAAATCTAATCTTCCCTACGATTTTTTCCTTCACCATCTTCAGTGATGTATAAATAATTTAAAAAAGTACATACCTACATCTATAATATATTAAAATCAATGCAACTTTTCATTGTAATTCGATTTGGCTATTTTTGGTCTTGAATTATTCGTGGAAGTCCAAGGAAAGTTTAAAAGATCAAAACAAATAGTTATATTTTAGGCGGTACGGAGTTCGCCAGATCAGCCAATACTAGCAGACCTGTATAATTTGGGAAAAGTCACATTGATACTTGTTGAAACTTTAAACATATCCATATTCGAAAAGCTTAGGCTTAACTCCTTGATCGATCCTTCTTGCTATTATTAAACGTTATTGAAAAAACCTGTTAAAATACCAGAGATGTATAAGTAATCTAAGAAAGTACATTATAACTCGGCAAAAGTCACATTTGTACGTGCTATGTTTCAAACCCACAATCTCTAAGAAACCAGCCCTAACTCCTCTTCCCTAACCAATGACCAACAGCCGACCAATGAACACATTTTATTTCTAATGCCATATTTAAGACCAATTTCATAATTTTCCAAACTTCTGAGGCCGGTACTAACAATAAACATAAAGTGCAGATGTCCGGTGACCACTTCGGAAGTGAACTAAGCTTGGATGGACGTAGTTTGAACAAATGAGGGTCTTAGGGTTATTGCTAAGACAATTCTGGCCAATGAGAGCTTCCATGAACATGCAGTAGGTTAAGTAAGTGTAGAAAACTCGGAGTAATTATAAATATTGCAAATAGTTTTTTTTTGAAATTTTCTTTCTTGGTTTTCTTGGTTCTGGGTCTGGACCCGGAACCAAGACCAGAACCAAAACTTGTGTGACGTGTTTAAGAAGTTGGATGTTTGTAAACGCACCTATGTACACAGAAGAAAATCCTAGTGTGTAGCAACGTTGTTTTTGTTTTAAGAAAGAGATAAAATTTATATAGGTACTTATAAACAAATAGACGAAAAAATTAAAATACAACGTTATTCGTTTTTTGGAACAGGAAGACGTTTTTCTTCTTAATTTTCTATGAGAATATTACCAACCCATTTCGGCGGATTTATCTTTCGACGGTTTTGATATTGACTGTAAAAATGTACAATATCAACACATACTTAAGCTTATTTATTGTTTACAGGTAGTTCAGATTCTTCAGAATCTACTGCAACTCCAGAAGAGATGAGACTACAACCAACTACTGATTTTGATTTTGGTAAGATCTCTTTTTATAGAATAGGATATAATAATACAATATTATTTATTTATTTTCTACTTTTAAGTTAATTGCAGTAAGATTAACACGATAATCATGGTTGCGGGTGCAAAGGCAATAAGGTACCAAGGCCTCGGCCTGGAGCAGGAGAAGGTATGGGACGGTTTTTAGTCAGTAAGAGACTGTCAGTCTCTTCCTCTTGCCTCACGCGATTGAAGTCATAGGATTTTCCCCCTCACAAGGAAACGTGTTTCGCAGTATTTTACATACGTGTCTAAATAAACCGCACACACAGTACACACAACTCTGTAAAAGCACATTGGTACTCGCCTGATTTCGAACCCGCTCCTTCAATTAAACAATGAATTTATTATTTATTATGTTTTCGGCTTGCTCACGTAATAATTGAGCAGCATTCCGCGACACGCGACGCGGCGACTGTCGCGCTGGTACTATAGTAGTAGTAGCTCATGAATATGGGCCTCTAGCATGGCTTGAAACTAGTCGAGTAGGTATCTCGTCAAATTATTACGTGAGTAAGCCGAAAACATAATAACTAATTTAGAATAAATTATCGGCACACCACAAAACGACACTTTTACAAGTCAAATTATATGTAAAAAAACTAGATGAAGCCGGCATTTCCTATCTGACTACTCTGAGAAGAAATGCCGAAACAAACTCAGAGGTCAGTCTTTTCAGCGTGCTTTCAGAGATCAGCAGCTTCATGCATGAGAAGCGGGCGCCTTAATCTGTGGGCTACCACGACACTGGTAAAATTAAAATAATCTTTAGTGTGGGTAGTCTATATATCGAGCTAGGCTGTGAGCTATAAAATACATAATAGTTCTTAATATATATTACATATGAAATTACTTGTTGCAAAATTAAACACGGAGTATATATGTATGTATACCTACTAATATTATAAAGCTGGAAAGTTTGTTTGTTTGTTTGAACGCGCTAATCTCTAGAACTATTGGTTCAAATTGAATAATTTCACTAGTACGTTTATCGAGGAAGGCTTTAAGCTATAAAACATCACGCTACGATTTGTAGGAACTGAGAATCGAGTGAAGCCGGGCGACATACGATAAAATCCTCACTCATTACATTCAGAAGTATTACAACAAAAATCCTATTAAAAGCTATGGCAAAAACGAGACATCTAAAGCAGTAAGCAGCCGCCATATTGCCATCTTGATGACGTACGAATTGTGTCGTTTCCTCGTTATATTGTCACCAGTAATGATACAAAATGTCTCTCTTTTGCAAGAAAATGACAGAAACGTCTGTGTTAACATTACTTTTTTTTTCTATTGGTAATTTAGCAGTGTTGCGTTGTTTTGTCAACGATTTAAGAAGAGCTGAGGTAACAAAATTACTGGCGGGACTATCGGAGAAGAAAGGTATAATAGTTAGATAGACAATAGGGCAGCTAGACTCTTTTATTTTTTGTTGAACTGTGAGGTTTTTACTGTAAATAAAGCTAATGAAATGATTTCGATCATGTTGACTAGGACAATATGGCAGCTAAATCCAATTAATGTTTGTTGAACTGTGATATTTATTTCGGTTCATAAATGTGAGCAATCTCTCTAACTAGAAAAGCCTACACAACCATAGATGAACTATCTGTTCATTCACTCTCTAAATATTTTAGTTACTTTTTTTTACCGTCTGTCAGCAAACGAGTTGACGGGTTAATGTAGCAGCGATGTAAATATTGTTGAAATAAAACAAGAGTAGAAGTGTAGAAATAGAAGCGTATATTTTCTGTTCATACATTGAGCTTAAGTACAAAATCACTGGGGCTGAAGTAGTGGCAGTAGTGCGATAAAAGCGTCGCGCGATTGTCCAATAAGAACGTGCCTTTCCTGACTCTGCAAGTAGCTAAAAGAAACGAGACAGGCGCGGGTGCGAGCGAGATAGCACTTACGTAAAAATAACGCGTTCGCAGCGCGTGCGATCTTCATTTCTATGCGATGCGTGACTCGAGGATGATGTAGCGATGCGTAGGTACCTCACACGCCCATGGGGGGTGCCCATGCAACACCAGAAGAGTTACGAGTACGTTGGGATTAGAGTTTCGAAGATTTAGAGATTGAGGAAGGATAGGGGGACAGAAAAAGAACCAAGAACTTCATTAGCACATTGCCGGCCGTGGGAATCTAACCCGCGCCACGCACAAATAACTCCATGGTTGCTACCATTATACCATTTGGACTTGGCGTATAATTTGGAATTTTTAGATGGACTAGTAGTGAGTCAGTCACTTTAGTTTTATAGAAATGATAATCGATACTTTTCTATGAATCGCAAAATTTGACGTCATTACGGTTATTTCAAAATAGCTAAGTAATTATTTCTGAAAAAAAATGCTAGAAAATTACAGATATGAATAAAAGTATTTTAATGTATGTATATAAAGTCGCAATAATTTATTTTTATCATAGAAAACTTCCCAATAAGAAGCGCAGTGCTCACCTTCTTCAACCAATATTTACGATGTGTATCGAAACCGTTGGAGGCGGTTCATCCGCCCCAGATGTTACCCCGATGCTGACCACGATCCTCATGAACATGAGGGATCGACTCTAAGAAAATTGCAGAATAACAGCCATTATCTTTAGATAGTGATTGCCCCCCACATTTGTCTGGTCTGAGCTGGTCTTAACATATTTGTTGCTCAACCCTAAAATAAAAATACCAAATACATTTATTGCAGATTCATCATTTTCCCCAACTAAGAGACCTAAACTCGATCGTGCTGCTCCAGAAGCAACTTGCACACCAAACATTACAATGAGTCAATCTTCCAGTGACAATCTCACCACAGATGAAACTACAAATACTAATGAACAAAACAAAAAAGATAGAAAGTGTAATAACAATGGAAACTGTGGATCGGGAAACGGTGTGACGGTAGTAGTGGACTTGACGGGAGAAAATTGTATGGTAAGTTTAATGGATCATTTCAAATATGCATTTATAACTTTAATTCTAAACTGTAACTAAGGTGTTTGTTTGGATACACTTAACCCATGACAAAAAGAAAAGGAAAGTATAAAAAAAGAATAAACGTAGACTATATTACACACTTCTCAAATAGCGCATAGCAATAAAACATCAAAGTTGCACCTAATGATGAATAGAAACTTTACAATTAAAAATAGCATTATTACACTTTTCAATTATGACTAAACTAGCTAATACTCAAAATTTGCATTTATTCATATTTGTCCCCTTGCTAAAGGCGGATTGGCGATGTCAAACTTATAATAAAAAATTTAAAGACCAGGTTTTCACGAGGTACTTAACCAAGGTGCAAATTTGATGTAAAACATCAAATTTGCACCTTGGTTGTTGCACCCTTACATTTATTTTTTGGTTGTTGTACCCTAATGATGAATAGAAACTTTACAATTAAAAATAACACAATTACACTTTTCAATTATGACCAAAACCTCTACTCACTCGACGCTCTTAATGATTAATACTCAAAATTTGCATTTATGACCACCCTTGCTAAAGAAGGACTGGCGATGTCAAACTTAGAATAAGAAATTAAAAGACCAGGTTTTTACGACGTACCTCACCCTTCTCCATAAGTCAATGGTGTCGAAATATGAACATTTATTTATTTATTTATTTATTTATACTAAATGCACAATATTGTATGTACCTTAGGCGGACTTAATGCATTGAGCATTCTCTACCAGTTGACCTTTGGGTGATGCAGAGAACCCAGTAGTAGATGCAAGAAGCAAGCGAAATAGAATACTATGAGTATAAAATAGGTTTATATAAACATACATAAAATACATAGAACTATACCTTTATATGTATAATTTGTAAAACTCATGCTACTTAATATACTTATACAGACATAAATGTAGTCATGATGCCGATGACTCCCCCATTCTCCTCAAAAGAAGCTCCCGAACTATCTGCTTGAATGTCAGCCGACTAGTCACATTCCTGACATCAGGGGGAATATGGAGTGCGTAACCAGATTTCTCAATTACGTGAAAGTTTAAATAAATATTCTTTACAGAACAACATAGTCGCAGATAAAAGTATGGAAAATCAGCGTAAAGATAAAGAAGATAAGGAGGTCCAAACTTCTCCAATATCAGTAAGCCCATCTAGGTCAAATTTTCCAAATTGTCAGGACCAGAGATTCGACCCAAACCTTCCTTTTGGGTGTATTTTGATCCATGATAGTTATCAATCTAGGATCCCTAGCAGAATTGTGTTTACTTCACTTAACAGTAGTATTAGGAATCTCAAATAAGGTTAGATTTACATACAGATTATACATTTGAAAATTTAGATTTACGCTTCAGTTTGTCCGTAAAGTTCAGTAAGTTCTACTGCCTATTTTAATAATTTAAATTTAAATCCGAACCCTAAAAATGTGTTAAAAATATTAATTATAAATTGTTCTTTTTTACGTCATTATTTCCTTAATACTTGAATCTTAACAATTATATAATTTGATTCCCGTAGCTTATACTTTTTGTTTTGAAATCGATGCACCAAATTGATATAATAATTGCAAAAAAAAAAAACATCTACATAAAACAACATAAGTATCAATATTAAACGATTATACTTACTACAAACTTTCATAGCTGTATTGTGAAATGATAATAAATTTAATTTGACCAAATTTAATTTTTATTTTAATTATTGCCTCATTCAATTTTAAAATTAAATTCTTGATACAGTCTTAATTTTTAAATTTAATATTTTATTCTGCCTCGCTTCGCTTACGTAAAATTAACAATTTTGCTATCCAAATTAATGAATAGAATTATTATCAAAATTATTTTCGTTTCGAATTATATTTTGTTATTGTTTTAATACTACTTAGTTATTTGAGAACCTTCTTAGTGTTTAGTGATTATTTTAATAAATAATATATAAACAGTTATAAGTCAAGGATCTCAAAGCAGATAGAAATCTGTATTGGTTCGTATTTAATAAGTTTATTTGTACATCATATGATTTAATATTCTTAAAACAAAAATAAATGTTTTCTGACAAAATTCTTGGCTTTTCATTAGACCTTACCTTTACTTTTTTGGGTAATTCTACAATGCTTAAATATTCAATGACTTATATTTACAAAAACAATGACAGTTTTCCTTGTTGTTGTGAGTGCAAGCGGTATATTATGTATTAATATTGTACAGCGACCTTAGTCCGAAGCAGTAGATGGAACGAGGTGGTTTTTAGTCAATAAGAGTCTGACACCCGGTTTCCGAAAGGCCGATCAATGTTAAAATCAATTTAATCTCTTGTCAAGTCATCTGATTAGTTGACTGAATTATCAAAAACCAATCAGATGACTTGACAAGAGATTTAACAGGAGATTAGTTAATTTTAGCGTTGACAAGCCTTTCAGAAACCGGGCGTCACCCTTTCTCTTACCCTACCCAGGTTGAAAGCAGCAGTGTGATTCTGTAAGACTTCATTCTAAACTTCGTCTGAATCCGCTGTGAGTAGTAGTACACTAGCGCTACACTTGCGAGTTGAACGTATGAGATGACGTCTTTAGACTTCTTATTGAGAGTGCTGGGGCCAATTGAAGTGTTTTTTTTATTTAATGAAAAAACCTTTAAAATATGCATTATTTTGGTTTTGTTATTGCACAACAAATTTAAACTAAGTCCTCGGAAGTCGTGTACAAAATATGATAAGAATCCGCTTAACCATTTCAAAGATCTAGCAAAACCAAAAACGTTACCGCAGCAAAATCTCGAATAACTTCGCAACCGAAGAAAGAACAAATACAAAATAAGGCACAACATTTACTGTATCTAGACAACTAATTTTATAGCTAATATTTATTTAAATATTCCCATTAGAAAGAAAAAGGTCTGGCTGTAGTAACGTTACGCCAGCAGGAAATGTTTTTGTAAAATAAATAAAAAACTATAAGCGCAACAAATTTAAAAATGTGCGCAACAATTACAGAAGCCGCACAACTAATTATCTATAAGATTCAAATGACCATTGTCGACAACATCTGGCCTGGGTAACGGACACTATTTCTATACCTTCATTTATCGCTCATAGTTTTTGCCAGTCGTTGCAAAAAGTACTTGGAACTTTGCACGAAGCTAATAAACCCATCGCTCGAATAGATAATGGTGAAGTATTGGAGCGTCCTTTTATATTGGTCATGTCAAGAACAGATATGGAAAAACAAAATGTTGGATGGTATTTATATAGGTTTTTTTTTTCTTTTTTCATGTGATTGGACGACAAACGAACAGACAGACTAATAGTAAATAATTGATGCCACTATTGGACACTGGCAACACCAGAGGAGTTACGAGTACATTTCCGGGCTGTTGGGGATAGTAGAGTTTCGAAGATATAAAGATTGGGGAAGGGGAAAAAAGATTGGTCCTACGGTAACCTTACTCACACAGCAAACACAACGCTGTAGTAGTTTCACGCCGGTTTTCTGTGAGGATGTAGTATCACTATGATCGAGCCAACCCATTCGCACCAAAGCAGGACTGTCTCACTGCACACACCACATTCTACATTTGTCTAAAGTCCATGGTCTAAAGTTTTAGTTGATTTTTAAATATCATCATTAAAGAAATGTAAATTAAATCGACGTCAAAACGGTTACAATGTAATCAAGTCCTTATTAATAATTAGAAGCATAAAAACAGTTCTTTAGAACGGTTTAATTATGTATAAATTCTTACATAATATCCTTTTTCTGATAATATTAGACTTAACCATTCAAATATTTTAAAATAAAGCTTAAGCAATGGCTGATAGAAAAATGCTTTTATACAATAGAAGAATTTATGAAATGTAAGATTAATGAATGTGATTATTTGTGTGATAAATAATATCTAATAATAATAAATGTTAACTTTGTTTGTTATAATAGAATATAATTGGAAATTGTATTAGTTTATAAAAATATTTGCATGCCTAACGTAGGCAGAATACAGCCTGAACTGCACACCACTATTATATCTGGTAACACCTGTGTTCTATGTGAATAAATGTTTCTTTCTTTCTTTAAAAATCGGTTCAGTCTTTCTGGAGATATTTGCACACACATACGTACACTTTTTCAAATAGCTAATTTAATACTAGACCAGGGTAGAAGCCTTCAAAATTAATGAAAAGTGAAAAAAGTTATAATAGAATGAAACCCATTAGAAAAAGAGGGAAATATGATAAACATGAAAGGAAAAATAATTTACGGGCGATCTGAGGTTGGGAAGGGGGTGGGGGTGAGTTTTTAAGGGTAAAAAACGGTTTTTTCTCGATTTCCGGCAAAACTAAAAGTCCTATCGAAAAAAGTCAAATGGAACAGTTGTAGATATTAAAAAGATCTACAACTTTTGTATTTTCACTTTTTTCACATAACCTCAAAATTTATGTGAAAAATTCAAAAAACCAAGGTTTTGGTTTTTTGAATTTTTCTTTTACATTTAGGTACATATTAAAAACATTTTTCGAACTCAAGTTTTTTTTTTAATTTTTGCGTTTTCTGACAAGATTTACCATAGTAACATATATTTTTTTTTCGACCATCGGAAAGTAGAGATTTCAACAAACAGAAACCATATCAACTTTTTGAAAAAAGCTGATATTTAGACGGGTGAATTTTCGATTGAAAATTAGGGTGTTTTTTCGATATTAATTCAAAATAAGGTGAAAAAATAAATATTTTTAATCAAATAAAGTACAGCGTATTTGGGACATAAAAAGGTAAGTCTTCACAAAATTTCGTTGAAAAAACAAATGTTTTTTAAAAGAAAAATTAAAAACACCAAAAACTTGGTTTTTTGAATTTTTCACATAAATTTTGAGGTTATGTGAAAAATAAAAAATACAAAAGTTTTAGATCTTTTTATTATCTACAACTGTTCCATTTGACTTTTTTCGATAGGACTTTTACTTTTGTCGGAAATCGAGAAAAACCGTTTTTTACCCTTAAAAACTCACCCCCATCCCCTTCCCAACCTCAGATCGCCCGTAAATTATTTTTCCTTTCATTTTTATCATATTTCCCTCCTTTTCTAATGGGTTTCATCCTATTACGATTTTTTTTGGTTTTAAAAATTATCGACCCTGGACTATACTCAAAAACATTAAACTCAGAACCCATTCTTCATTTCTTAGCATTCTTGTAATTTAATAAAATATCAACAATATTTGCAACGAGCTCACCTTTAGAAAACCACACAGCAATTCCTACTTTAAACACGTTTTCAATTCAAAAACAAACTGAAATATTCAGGCCTCCTGAAAGCTTTTTCGCATTTCTTTCCTTCCACTTACAGCATTCGTTACATACGAGTATATGTAGCTGAGTACTCAGTCTCATTGCCTACTAGATCTCAAGTAACTCAGTGCTGCCATCTACCGGTTAGGGCGGTTACTTGAGAAATGGCAGGTTTCACGGCGGTAAGCAGTGGTCGAGCATCGTTAGGATAAGTCAGCGGCCTCAAATTTATGGGTTGTGTTATGATGTAGCTGCGAGCTGAATCTTAAAAGTAAATATGTTGAAGGCAAATGTAATAATTTACCCTTCCCTTATGTATGTGGGTAGATTTGTTTACAAGGTAGTAGTGGCCCGGAGGTTAAGGAGGAGAAAGAGGTAGCTTCGAAACCTGGCAAGTACCAATGTGACTTTTCCGAGTTATATGTACTTTTTATTATTTACACCTCTGACATACGGTTAAGGTAAACATCGTGAGTATTTGTAATTTCTAATTATAAGTTTGAAATCACCAACCCGCATTGAGCAAGGGTGATGATTAATGCTCAAACCTTCTCCATGTGAAAAGAAGCCTTTGCTCAGCAGTGGGCACTTTTGGGCTGGTGATGATATTGAGATTTGTTTATTTCAATTCTAAGTAGTTTCTTATTAAGAACACAAAATCGAAAGATGAGTTCCAGAACACATAACGAAAGAAAAATGACGCAATTTTATTATAACGCATTATATTTTTAATATTGGAAATAACTCGAACCGATACGACCTTTAAACCTTCAAGAACCGAGCGTACCTACTCCTTCTTAAAAGGCTAACAACGCGCCTATGACTCCTTTGGTGCTGCAGTTGTACATGGTCGGTGCAGATCACTTAACATCAGGTAAGCCGTTTACTCGTTTGCCTCCTATTCCATAAAAAAAAACTCATCTAGAAACGTGCAGTCATATCCAAGTCCTGCTTTTATAAAGAATCAATAAAGAAACAATTTATTTTCAAAGCATCGTCCTATACCATGGAGTAAAATAAAATCTCAATTCAAAAAATCAAAATGAAAATTGGCATTTTCAGGTAATGAAGACTGAAGTGTATTACGCTTGGGAGTACCTGACAGCTGTCAGTCTCGAAATGTCATTTAAAAGCTAGAGGGCGGTGTTTTATTACATATATGTCATTTGGTTGGGTGTCGAACTGACATAAATCAAATAATATGTCAAATTGTGAGTGGATCACGCCTCAACACGAATGGGTTCAACCTGAGTGATACCACAGCCTCACAGAAAACCAACGTGAAACAAACACAGGGTTGGGTTTCGCAGTGCGAGTGAGGTTATCGTAGGCCCAATTCTTCCCGTGCCCCGTCTCTCGACGGACCCAAAATGTCCGATAACAACTCCGAACACACCTGTAACTCCTCTGGTGTTGCAGGTGCCCATGGACGGCCTCCGATTGCTTACCTTTAGTAAATCCGTCTGATCATTTAAAGCTATGTAACATAAATAATATATCTATATTATACCAGAAACAGATCCGCGATTACGGCGCGTGGTACTCCGCACGCGCCTCAGAGCCAACCACAGAAGCTGATGTTCAGACGGACTTGCGCGGCAAGAAGCACAATAAAATACCGCAGCACTGGCCTGGATCAGGAGATGGCACGGATGGTTAAGTCAGTACGAGACTGATGCCCGGTTTCTGAAAGCCCGATCAATGTTAAAATCAACTAACTAGGTGTCAAATCTCTTGTCAAGTCATCTGATTGGTTATTGATGATTCAGTCAACCAATCAGATGTCTTGACAAGAGATTAAATTGATTTAACATTGATCGGCCGTTCGGAAACCGGGTGTCACACTATATACGACAGTCGAAAGACATATGGTTAATTTCACCCTTCAAAAAAAATCCTACATGAGCATTATATTACAATCACAAACCGTCTGCTAAATCTGAAATATAATATGTTTAATATAAAATTGTGTACTTATTCACTATTATTCTACGTAATTTATGAAATAAATAACAATTTAAAATATAATCATTAATCAACGCTCATGGCGGATCATAAAATGGTCGCATTTTATGATGTGGATTACTCAATTTGACCAGATCATTATTTTTAAGTATTGATCTCCCCAAACCACATTACGATGTTCCCAATAGGCGATTTAAAATTTCCTGAAATGCAATCATTCCATTAAATCCTCAAACATTTCATGAATTTAATAAATTTACTACATGAACATGACATACGCACGCAACAGAACTTACTCATAACAGAGGTTAATTCAAAATTGAAAATAAAATTGAAACACAATTTTTAAGTTCTTCCTTCTTTTTTAGTCATTTGATGACTTCCCCATCACAAAAAAGGACTTCATACATTGCTTATTTTTTTAGAGTAAGAATAATCATCATATTATTATGTTTTCTCTCGCCTCACGTATGGATCGAGGAGTGAAAGGAAGTGTCAGACTCTTACTGACTAAAAACCCTCCGTTCCTTCTCCAGCACCAGGCCGGGTCCGCGGTACCTTATTGCGTTTAACCTGCAACCCTGGCGATATATTGCGTATGAAAACCAAGTATCATTAAAATCATTTAATTAGTTTCCATAATTTTCTGGAAACGTCACGCGTTAACGCTCAAACGCCTCCGCCAATGTCATTCAAATCAACCAATAGTAAACGACCCTTATCTGAATACTTTTTTTTTATGTAATAAGTCGTCAAACGAGCAGACGGATTACCTGATGGTAAGCAATCAACGCCACCCATGGACACCCGCAACGCTATAGGTATTTACTTATACTCGTTCAAAAACTTATCAAGAATTCGTTTAAGCCCACTACATCAAATGCTTTCATACGAGAGAAAAAATGTCCTTGACGCATCATGAGTGAATGAATGAGATACGAAATTGAAGTCCTCATTTTTCGTCATTTGCGTGATATATGCCGTGATAACAGCGGTCTTCCTGCCCGTGAAAGGCTTGAAAACGGAGGAAATGAATCATAAAAGATAGTGGGTACCCTTTTCTTATACTTTAGAGATGGTCTCGGAACATATTTCTTATCCAGTGACTAAGATTTTGATGTGAAATAAATTTAGAGACTTTTCTGTCTTCGTCGAGTCTTCTAACGGTAATTGTTTTTATGGAATATCATTCTGACCCGAATTCATCAGTAGGTGAATAATGAATTACCATTCAAATCCTTAAATAAGCTTTTGTTGATCCTTAATAAATACAGTAGAAGTTACGTTAACACTACAATGCCATAGGTATTTCAACTTTTATATAGCAATTATTTTAACTACAGGAAAAAGGTACTTCAATTTTAAATTATAATTTTAGTATACTGTCTGACTGATTACGGCCCGAATTGCTATTTGCTGATGTTCCCCTCTACTGTTCTAATAATAGTCGAAAACTTTCATAAAACCATATCTTTAGCAAAATACAAAACAAAAAAGAAATTAGCGAAATCAGTGCAGGTGTTCTCGACAACAACACATTTTGTTATACATTTTTATACTTTACGCAGATAAACTAAATAACAAAATCAAAGGTAAATAAAAAAATTAAAATAAATAAAAACATACTGAGTATTGTGTAGAAAAAGAAATTCATTAAATAAGTAAGCTTTTTCAATTTAAACAGCTTTGTCCCATCGAATGGCGTACAGACCGGATGGGCTCCCATATCATTACGCCCCAATAGCCACGGGGATGTCCGTCCGACATGAAAGTATTCTCGCCTTCTCATATATTATATAGAAATGCATGTTATTTACTGCGGATACAATTTTTTACTGACTGTCACACCGTAGTTGTTCGGATAATACGGTTTTTGAAGCTTAAAGAATTAATTAATTAATTATTTTTTTACTTTTTTTTTTGTAAAATTAATAAATTATTTTTAAATTTTCATAATCAATTCTATTTTGAACAAATAATTACGAAACACAAATACGATTATTTTAAGGTATTTACGAAATGAGTAAAACTACCTAGTAGAAGTTAAATTGAAATGTCCAACTTTCTGAAACTTAAATATATTGTATGTTAACAACTACCTGTCCAGTCATCATCAGCCCTAAAGTGCTAACTGCTGAGCAAAGATCTCTTCTCACACGAAGAAGCATTAATCACAACGCTTGCTCTAAGTGGGTTGGCGATTTAAAAGTTATTGCTACTGGACTGGGTGATGTATGTATATGAGAAATTGTGTATTAAAATTTCTAAACGCAAAAACGACACCGGAGGAAATACTGTTGCGAAGAAAGGGTTTTAAAAAAATGTGTTTGATTAAAAAGTGACGGTGAAATACACACACAACACATGAATGTGCGGTTGGCAGTGGCTATACAGCTGACGCTTGCTTCGCAATGTGCAGATTCGAACCAAAGAGGCCTAAAACAGAAGAAGGAACGGAAGGTTTTTAGTCAGTAAGAGTCTGAGACTCTCTCGCCTCGCCTAGGCGGGAGAAGTCATTTGATGACTTTCGCTTTAACAAAAAAAAAAGGTAAGAAAAAGGGTTTTGTTTTCTTGTCGATCAACTATGTTTTAAGAAAAAACATTATCAGTAGACACCGATAAAAAAAACATTATTTTTATTATCCCCGTCAAATAAAAAACGAATGCACGGTGTGACAAGCTCCCGGCAAACGTAAGTACGTTTACTGACAATGCATTGTCGTTGAAATACGAATAAAATACATCATCCGAGGGAACATGGAGAAATGTTTGAATGGAGGTACGAGGGACAACTTTGTCACTCCTCCGAGCTATTGTCGACGTAAATATTTCAAATAAACTATGACAAAGTGAATTGTATTCGTTGTTAATGTTTTTAGGTCACACAAGGTTGAAATTGTACGAATATTAATGACGCAAGATATTATTAAATTTTTAGTTTTGTATAGGTTGGTTTTTATGTAGGTACATAGGTATGTGTGTATTCGGAACTCTTTAGTGTCTTGTGTTTTAAATAAAACTTCATCAATTATTGTATTTGTGTCATTATAGGAAAAATCAACCAAAGACTTCTTTTACCCTAGGTGTGACGATAAGAAGTGTCACACCCGGTTTCCGAAAGGCCGATCAATGTTAAAATCAATTTAATCTCTTGTCAAGTCATCTGATTGGTTGACTGAATTATCAACAACCAATCAGATAACTTGACAAGAGATTTAACAGGAGATCAGTTAATTTAAGCGTTGACAAGCCTTTCAGAAACCGGGTGTCAGACTCTTACTGACTAAAGTAAAAACCAACCTTCTCGTACTCCAAGCCGGGTCCGCGGTACATCATTGATTTGCAGGCCTGGTGGGATATTTTTTGTCAATACTACATATTAAAGGTATCATTTTGAACGAGGGACATATTCAAGAAGGTCGATGTTGGTGCTCAATTACAACAACTTTGTCCATGGTACTAATATCCAAATCTAAATAAATTAAAAATTAAAAAAACCCGACACAAAAACAATCTACCTTTAAAAAGTATATAATACAAAAAAAAACTTAATTGAAATCGTTTCATCCGTTCAGGAGCTATGGTACCACAGACACACAGACAGACTCGTGAAACTTATTAAAGTTTTTGTGACGTACAAGTCATAACCTTTCATTTGATACCCCACTTGAGCATATTTGCAGACATTCGGGTTTTTCTTGCCCACTTTAACCCCTCATAACTTTTAAAAGGCTTAATCGATTTTCATCAAACATGTCTAAGAACACTCGCCCGTAAAACACCTGTAATATGAAAAAAACTAAGTTGAAATCGGTTCATTCGTTCAGGAGCTATGATGCGACAGACAGACAGACAGACACGTCAAACTTATAACACCCCTCTTTTTGTGTTACATAGCAGCAGCTAGCAGCTGATTGATCATTTGGCATGGAGAAACAAAATTATTTTTCCAGCATCATCATCAGCCTATAAGTGCTTACTGCTGAGCAAAGGCCTCTTCTCACATGGAAAAAGTTCGAGCATTAATCACCACGCTTGCTCAATGCGGATTGGCGATTCCAAACATATAATTAGAAATTATAAGTGCAGGTTACCTCACGATGTTTACCTTCACCGTATGACAGTGGTGTCTAAATAATCATAGAAAGTATATATAACTCGGAAAAAGTCATATCGGTACTTGCCAGGTTTCGAACCCACACCTTCATGCACGAGAAGAGGGCTCCCTAACCTCCGGGCCACCACGGCACTTTATCATAATCTTTAGCAGTCTTTAAGTGCAGTGAGCACTATTGAGCAAAGGCCTCATCTCACAAAGAAACCACCACGCTTGCACAAATTATTTTTTGGGGTTCTTATATTGGTCTTATGGAAAAAATTGTGATATTTGAAAACCATAATTGGGTGCTTCAATATTTCCCTCGTTCAGAATGACAACCTGTATAAGATAAAAGATTAGGCCCACCAATGAATTAATTGTTTTAATACTATTTGCAGATTCTGGGTTCACATTTTTGCTTATAACTTTGAAAGCAACCATAAGACCTTTCCTAGAACCAGTATGCGGGGTGCATACTGGTTCTGACCTTTTTGTATAGTGAAAAACAACACATGTACAACTATCAAACATCCTCTAAAATAATTCCATAACGATTAAACCCTATAACAATGGGCATAGCTGTCCTTTTCCAACAA